CAAGCCGTTTTATAATTTAAACATATTTCTTGATATCAAGAATTACCATTGCTTTACAACGTAAAATTATTTCTTGATATCAAGAATTTAATTCTTGATATCACGAATTCGATTTCTTGATATCACGAATTCATTTCTTGATATCAAGAATTCATTTCTCCCTCCGATGGTAGGGAAAATTCTAGCATTGTACTCTCTGAAAATCAATTTTTAGGTACAATTTTGAACACCAACATACATGTAGCAAAACAGATGCGGCGCGGGACGGAGCTAAAAGTGTATTGGGGTGTTTCTTAGATAGCCTGACTTGGCCCGTCAATTCACTTCGTTTAGTACGTCTTGTCCCTAGCGGGGGGCCTCTCCCTCCCCGTTAACAAGAGAGAGAGAAGGAAAAGAAGGGAAAGGGAAAGAGGAGAGAAAGGGAAAGAAAGAAGAGGAAGAAGAAAAGAAGGAGATCGGGGGAGGGCCTCCCAGGCTGTTGCCCCCCCCCCCCCAACAACAACAAAAAAAAAAAGAGAGAGAAGGGGGGTAAGGGGAAGAGAAGAGCTAAAGGGAACAAAACAGAGGAAGAAAAGAAAAGGTGAAACGTAGGGGAGATCAGTTGCGATTAAGCCCGCCAAAAAGAATGTAGATCGGGGGGAGGGCCGAAACGCCCTTGCCCACCTCCCAGGAAACTTATAAGAGACAGAGAAAAGGAAGGAAAGGAAAATTCAAATGGAAAGAGAAGAGAAGATAAGAGAAAGGGAAACAAGGACAAAAAGAGGAAGAAGAAAGGTAGGGGAGATTAGTTGCGATTTTTCCAGCCAACATGATGTGGATCGGGGGACGAAATGCCCTTCCTCCCCCTACCCCCACTCAGCAAAGAGAGAGAGAGAGAGAGAGAGCGAGAAAGAGAGAGAGAGAGAGAGAGAGAGAGAGAGAAGTAAGGAAAGGGAGAGGGAAAGGAAAAGAGGAGAGAAAGGCCGGGAAAGAAAATATAGAGGAAGAAAATGGAAAAGAGGGAAAAGAAGACATTTTAATTGAATAAAATACGTATATACATATTCTTTTGTTTAAACTTTAAGCTGTCCTCCAAATTTCCTGTGCCCCTACCCTTGTACCCTTGTACCCTGATTCCCCCCCCCCCCCCCCTCCCTCCAAGTTGACAACCCTTTGTCAATTTCAGGAAATAGAGTGGATGTATTTAGGGGCGTTTCAATGTTTAATATAGGAGTAGGGGGAGGAGTTCAAAAAGAGTTAAAATGGGCTTGAAAGGGGTGTTAATTGAAAATTAGGGGGGGGGGGATAACTTGAGGTTTAAACAAATTTAAGGGGGCAACTCAGATTGAAAATTGAGTTTAATTTAAAAATATGATATTAACAAAATTATTAAAAGGGAGGGCACAACTGAAAATAGACACTGAACAAATTTTAAAAATAAAAATAATAATAAAATCGAACGCAAAGAGAGGGCACCAAGTTAAAGATATAGACGGGTAGAAGTAAAAATGCGGTTTAAGGGTTTTGGGTACAAAATATCCATTCAGTATTGTTTAAATATAGCCTTCAGAGGTTTATATGGCAATACTTTAAACTAAATTTGCAAAAAAGCAGAAATATCTGCCCAAATGTTCAATGTTGAAGTACATTCACGATATTTTCCAGACCGGATCGATGTAATAATTTTCCAAATATATATCAATTAGTAGGCGGTTTCCCCGCAAAATTTGTATCGTCACGTATTTAATCAAAAACATATTTTTTCACATTCATGATTGGTAAAGAGCTTCAATTTCATTATTTGAGAGGGGTGTTTCTGAAACTGGTCTATACATTTTAATTGGAAAAAAAATATGTATATACATGTACATATCCTATTTTAATAATTTTAAGCTGTCCTCCAAATTGATGCATTTACCCCTTCCCATTACAATATTTAGTGCGCCGTTGCTAGGAAATATATTTCACCCCCTCCTCTCCCACTTGTTATTTATTTTTAATTTCGACATCATCCCTTAGCATGCAAAGGGGTGTGCCCCAACCTTATACCCTGATAACCCCCCCCCCCCCCTCCAAGTTGACACCCGTATGTAAATTTCGGAAAATAGAAAGGAATGTTAATATTATAAATTGTACAGAGAGAGAGAGAGAGAGGGAGGGAGAGAGAGAAGGACGAGAGCTAATGTATCCGTGTCTTTATCCGTGTCCTTGCGCTTGTCCCTGACCTCGTCTTGAGTCTTGACTATCGTCATCGTGTTCAATGTTCTACTTAACAGCCTATGAAAATATGCAACTACTAAATGTATTAATTTATGGAATCTTCGACCGCTCTTGAGTGTTGGAGCATTAACACATGTGACATGTACACAGTCACAGAGCCGGCGGAGCGACTTCCAAAGTGGGGGGGGGGGGGGCACCAACAAAAAAGGGCAACTTCAAAGGGAATTTTAAAGCAAAAATAGACAAGTTTTTAGATATTGGTATATACCCATATATTATGATTACATTATCAGGGGTACTTATCAGAGTCGGAAAGGGGAAGGTGCACTTTTTAAAAGTATAGTGGCACTTGTCAAATTAAAAGGGGTACTTTTTCTATGTAAAAAGGGGCACTTCTTACAACGGTAAGGGACACTTTTCCTGTAGGAAGGGGCAATTTTGGGGTACTTCAAAAATTGGGGGGATGTGCCCCGCTGAACGGTTTTTTTAAAGTGGGTGGAGGAGGATAAAGTATTTACCTTCAGATACAGCGTAGCGTAAATTGGCGTGGGGTCTAGGGCAAACCCCGGTGGGGAATAAGGGGTGGAACCCCCGGAAGCTTAGGGGTATGGGCATTTAATTACGGTCAAATGAGCATATTTCGATACCTTATTCATGATACTGACAGGTCACTAATTGGCGTGAGGTCCAGGGGATGCAGCCCCCAGAAGCTCAGGATTTTAAGGGATTAAATTACCGTCTGATGAGCATCCAGAGGCCCGCCTTAGAGCCCTGGGTGGGGACCAGGGGTTTTTAGGCTTTTAATTACGGTCAGCTGACCATATTTTGATACTTTATTTGTGACACATGCAGGTCACTCTTTTTTTCTTTCTTTCTATCTTTCTTTCTATTTCTCTTTAATATACTTTTTAAACAAAGAGGGGGAGGGAGGTCAAGCCCCCTGAGCCCCATCGTTCTGCGGACCCTGGCATATTGGCCTCTTAATAAGCATATTTCTTGCCTGACTGTAAATTTTTGAATTTGTCATTTTCCAACAAATACATACACAAATTCAGTGAACTAAAAAGCGAGGAAAAATCCCGAAAAATTATGTCATTTAAGCAAAATTTGTAAATCACTGGTATTGATTTAGAAATAAACCACGTTGAAAATTTGGTTCGGGTCAAATGCCCCAAGCCCACCCCCCCCCCCCCCCCCCCCCCGTAGTACGCCAGGGTTGATCAGGTGCGTATTTGGCGCTTGGTCTCAATGACGAAAGAAGATTATTTTCCCTTCTTTTCCCCCTTTTCTTGTCTTCATCCTTTTCATTTTCTTTCACTCTCTTTCCTCCTTCCCCTTCCCTTCCTATCCATTCTTTCTCTCTCTCTCTCTCTCTCTCTCTTTCTTTCTTTCTTTTGCTGAGGTGGGGGGGGGGGCGGGAGGCAAGGGCATTTTGCCCCCCCCCCCCCGATCCACGACTGGTCGGCGATATCCCCTTCTTTTTTTCTTCTTCTTCCTCTTTTTTCCTTCCCTTTATCTCCTCTTTTCCTTTTTTTTTCTTTCTCTTTCCTTCCTGCTCTCTGTTTTGCTGCGGGGGGGGGGGGGGGGGGAGGCAACAGCATGGGCAAGGTCCTTTCACCCCCCCCCCCCCGATCTCCTTCTTTTCCCCTTTTCTTTTCTTCTTTCTCTTCTTTTTTTCCCTTTCTCTCTTCTTTCCCTTTCCCTTCTTTTCCTTCTCCCCCTCTCTCCTTTTTTTTTCTTTAAAAAAAAAAAATTGTTTTAATATATTTTTTGGGGGGAAGGCCCCCGCGCTGGGCCCCATCTTTTCCCTTGATCCGCGCCTGGCTTACGCTTGGTTCGTGTGCATTCCATGTGCTCATCTGCAGAGATCCAGCTGCGGCCTAAATAAAACAAAAAAATATTAAAAATAGACCTAGTCCCAATCAATTCCTTTTAGTTCCCTTTCAGCCCACGCCCTAAATTGCAAAACAGCCTGAGCCCCTCCCCCCACCCCTTCCTTGCTTGCGACAAGACGTATTGAAAAATATATATATTGAATTGACAGGCCAAGTCGGGCTATCTAAGATGCCACAATTCTAGCTCCGTCCCGCGCCACATCTGTTTCCCTTTTTTGGTGTTCAAACTGTAAACTTTTCAGAGAGTAAAATGCCAGAAGTTTCCCATTTGAGAAGTGATGAAGTATGATTAAAAGATACAAACCAGTCTTATAAGGACTAAATACTACGAACTATACTGTAACACTAACACAATCATACTCGCCTCGATCGTGTAACTTTGCATAACAAAATTCGCGACACGGCCGAAAAGGCTACCCGACGGCCCGCTATAACAAGTGCTCTGATTTGCCAGAGTTAAATATACGTACACATGTTTAACATGCGGTACTGTATTTCCCGTTTTGTGTACGTAAACGATAACCCTGCACAGTAATTGGCCGATCAACTACCGCAAGCACTATACTAACTACCGTAAGCTACTAACCAGTACCGCAAGCTCGCTTGCGATATATGGCGGCGTTGGCCTTCCATATTTGACTACCGTAACTGCTTAGTAACGCAAGCACTACTCTGTAAAATCATTGGATACTAAGTGTACGTAAGTGTTTCCTTATGATTACGTTACTAGTTAAGTTTATGGCGGTGATGGCCTTCCATAGCGTAGCGGTGGCTCGCTCGCATGCTCACGGCACTATAACAATAGCGCGCTAGCAGTCTCATGGCAGGATAAGAGTTAAATATTCTAAAACCCCCTTTTGTCCGTCTTGTTGACTTCCACGAGCGTTTTCAGCCATAATAGCGTTCGTTCCCTACACTCGACGGAAGAGTTGTATCGCCGTACAATAGACCATTTTCGTAAAGTAACCAAATGTAATGCATGAAGTGCCTCAATACAAATTATTTCATTCACCTGATAAGAATAATAATATTTCAATAGACAAAATCCGAACTGCATAAATTATTGATCTCGGTCGAGTGAATTCTCCCGTCCTCTTTGCCTTCCGTGGCGTTGTTTAATCGCCCTAATAGCTAACATGAACTTACACACCTTAAATTCGAATGAAAATAATGGACTCGCAGAGCAGACCACGACCAAAGAAGCGATGGCTGATTCTTGTGGGACTCTTTGCCGTCGGATATTTTGACATCGGAACGTTAAAATCGTTGGGCGTGTTCCTTGAGGAAATGACGGACGACTTGCAAACGTCTCTCGCTGTCGTCGGAGTAGCCATTGGACTATGTCATGGCATAGCGCATTGCTTTGGTGAGATGCTTTTTGTTACGATGGCCATTTATCAATCATAACCAGTATTGATTTTACATTGTGCCCTAAAGCATCGGTTTGTAACTACATGTATTTAAGAACATATAGTCGATATGGACGCGTAATCGACGCTCCGCGTGCTATAGCAATGGATCGAATCCATTTAGATTAAACATAATGATATCATTTATAAGTGATTTTCATTGTAAAGCATTCCAATTAATAAATCTCGCATCACTGAAAGTCAGTCACGCCATTTATATTCTAATCCCTAAAAATGATATAGTAATAACATCTAAGACGATCCGTGACATTTTTGCTAATCTATCCTGCCAGAAAGCAATAGGTTCACTATTTTCCTTGAATATATTAATTTATTTAAAAAAAAATTTAAAAAATCTAATCGATTCTTGCCTCTAAATGTTTCATTTCACAGCGGTTGTAAATGTTCCTCTATTAAAGCGGTTTTCAGCAGGAAAACTCATCATTACAGGCAGTAGCATTGCCGCTACAGGACTCAGCCTCATTTATTTTGCAACATCTGGAATACACTTTCTACTGCTAATGCTTTTAACAGGTAGGACTTCTACGAATATCTTATTACTCTGGGTGCGTTTATTGACCAAATTTTTGGCTAGATTCAGGTTTCTCAAACGTCTTTCAGGCAAATTTCGAAGGTGATAAACGCAAAGCCTTTTTTTAAAGGTCTTTAGATATGGGCATATCTAAAGACGAAAAAAGATGTGTTTTGAATGTGACATACAGCAAGAATCACGTTTCTTAGAGATGATAAACGCAAAGCTGTTTTGAACTCTACATACAAATCGGACCTCCAAGGTTAATTTCCGGTTCGAAGGCTAGCGCGCCATGTGTTGTGTCATGTTGTTGTACAAGCATGCATAATTGTGTGTGAAGTTGACCTCCGAGAAACTGTCTGCTTCCCGGGTCAAACGGCGCAGAGCAGCTGTGCAGAGACAAGGCCCTTATTGTGAATCGTGAAGAGACGATAAACGCGACGTCCCGCAAATCACGATCGTATAGTGGGGTTCGATAGTGGGGTATGATAGGGGTACGATATGTACATATCTAGTGGCAATTAGACCCAATAAACGCACCCATAGATACAAAGCAATAATAGACCCAAAGTATACCCCTGAGGTACTCCATTCAAAGCAAGTTAATTGATCAAGGAGTTTTTGCTTACATAATCTTGTTTCTGAATTTGCTGTAATCTTTGAAAATTGAAAAAAAGAATCAGACAGACGACAGTCTATGGAATATACACAATACACTTGCCATTGCCACTGTCATTTATGATCAATTGACCGATTTCTTCAGTGTATTTTGTTCGGAAAAACCGTCCCTAGCTAACGTTATCAAAATTATATATTTCATGACAATGTTTTTTTCCCTTTTTCACCAGGGTTTGGTTCTAGCGTCGTCATTTTGCCTTCTCACGCATGTGTCATTGACTACTTTCCAGATCACTTCGAGATCGCTACAACCATTGTCCTCCTGGGCAGCGGTGTAGGTATGATGACGCTCCCATTGCTTACAGAACAGCTCGTCATGGCATACTCCTGGAGAGGAGCGATCCTTATTCTAGGGGCCTTAAACTTGCATTCGTGTGTGACGGGGCTACTAATGGCGTCAAGTAGTCAACAAAGGCGTGTATTAGGAGAACCTTCAACTTTAGCCGGCAGAGCTCAGATCGGGGAAGACCATGAAGAACTTGTGTCCCTGATAAACGAACCTGCAACTGTTGACCCACATTACATAGCTGATGATCGCAATGACGATGGGGTCTTTTGCTTTATCGCCATAATCGCCAGAGCTGCCAAAAAGATATTCCTGGATATTTTCGATATTAAAGTCTTCCGTGATTGCCCCCGCTTTATCACAATCTGCATGACCCACTTTATTTTAGCCGTCTCCTTCTACGGGTGGATCGTCTTCTTGATTCCCAATGCCGAAGCCAAGGGTATCAGTCCCGGCAGAGCCGTCCTACTCACAACCATTGGCGGGGCTGCGAACATCTTTGGAAGGCTCACAGTAGGTTTCCAGGCTGCAAGGCTCAATCTGAAACCCCAGGTCACCTACTGTTTCATCTCCATCGTATCAGCAGGGGCGTTCTTCTGTAATTTCTTCACTAAAAGATTTTCGATTCTTAGCTGTTTAGCAGCCATAAATGGTTTCGCAATAGGTGGGAAAGTCATGAGTTTCAACCTTCTGTGTAAGGACAGTGTCTCGGACGAAAGGTACCCAGCTGCATTGTCTTTCTCATCACTCGCCGTTGGTATAGGGGAGGCAGTCGGGGCGTTGTTCATTGGTATGTACATGATTATGAACGGATAAAAATTGTCTGTTTCGGACCATTTTGATTTGTTTGTTTGTTTGTTTGTTGTTAGATGTTATCTTTTAAAAAACTCGTTCGGAAGTCACGGTACATACAGCAGCGTAATGAAAAATAGAGTATGAGGAACGCCCTCTATTTTTCTTCCTTTTGCTGACATGCAGATGCTATCGGTTTTTCCCTTTATAAATTTTGAATAAGGCAATGTACCAATTGATCAACACGTGGGATATAGTTAAAAGAACAATACAAATACACATTATTAGTTATCGTGGATTTAATAAACACGTAATTATACAAAATAATAGGCCAATATAATAATAATAAGATATTTGTGTACCGCATATTGCAAATTCGTAGGTAAAGGAAACAGATTTTGCATTAAAAATTACATCAATTCAATTAACATTAAAAACTTTGCAAATGAAAAAAATACATGTACATAATATCATGAGTTTAAAAGCCTCACTGTCCTACTTGTATATTGCTCCCTCTATATAGAAAACTTATTTCCTACTTTTTCTTATGTTAGTTGAGAGCTGAGTTAATGAGATAGCCACCTGTCAGTGACCTCGCTGTGTGGTCTAATCCCTTCTGGCCCAGTAGTGCTGACGGTCTTTAAAGCCCATCTGCACGAGTTCGGCCAGAAGGGATTAGACCTCCCTGTAAGGTCACTGACAGGTGGTTATCTTATCAAATCAGCTGTCAATGAACATAATAGAAAAAGGATCATGGGGGACCAACATACACCGATTAGGCATTGTTTGCCATATAGAGGGCGCAAGTAGCTACAAGTAGTGCAGTCCCGCTTACAAGAAATTACATTTTTATTTAAAATAAATCTTTTCTCCTCAAACAGGGCTTCTGTACGATTACACCAAGTCTTTTGATATCATGTTCTGTGTGCTTGGAGCAGCTAATATATTGGAGTCCTGTATCATCATTTCTCCCATCATCATGGATTGGATGGTCGCCATGGTTACCCCCCGTTAATGAAGGGCAGGAGGTACAATTTCTGGTGCCAGTTATCGTTATTGGCATAGCTAGGGGTCCTATTCACCCGCACCGCATGGGAGGAAAACGGAGGGACAAACATAGCCAAATGGGAAAATAACCGTCAATGTGCTTCATGGAATGATATATTTTTACGGTTAACAGGAAGAAAAAATATAGTCTATATTTAAAGGGATCCGGTAACTTTGTCTCAGATTCTGAAACTAAATCCTGGATTTAGCTCATGCTGCAATGTTAATTATAAACCTTTAGGTCAGTCAGAAACCCAATTACTTTTTACATGCCTATCGCCCGTCTAATTATCAAGATATTTATGATTGGAAATCGAAACAAAATGTTGCGTTTTCCTAACGGTTTTCATAACACTACAGTCTATTGGGGGGAAATGAGTATGGAAAAACCGGTCACTCAAAGATTTTTATTTTTTGAGGCACTTCTTGATCGTTTTGAAGCGCAATATTTTAGGGCTTCGATATCACACTATGTCACAGACACTGATAACACGTAGGGCCGTTCATCTCAGTATTAACATTGTTAAACGATGCCTTTAAATATAGATCTGCCCTTTTTATCTATTTACATAAACACTTATAGATGGCTACAGGGTAAAATTCATGAATATTATATAATTATGTTTGTATTTTGCTATTGTGAATCGTAATTAATTTTCTATGAATTTGAAGCAATATTCTACTGTATTACTGTAATTTACCGATTGGTTTATTTGTTAAAATCACACAATTTTTAATTGTTCCAATCTATTACAATCATTTTAATAGCCGGCTCTGATTACAAACAATTCAACACACGATCCGATAAAAAACTAAGAATATTTGAAAGGAAATATTATTGCATGTACATATTATATTGGCCTATATCTTTATGTTTTACTAAGAACTTTAACGAATTTTCAATTGTTTCATGTTATCTTTGATTTCATATGTATTATTGTATTTTAATGTTTCTATCAAATTGTAAACAAATCACAAAATTTAGCCCTCGGGCTTCGAGATGATTTTGAATAAAACAAACAATTGATAATACATAGTAATAGTAAAATAACAAAAACCGGCACAGAACAGTAAAATCGTAGACAATAACAGAGAAAAGATTTTCTACTGGCACATCTATTCCGATTTTATTTATTTATTTAATTTATTTAATTCTAATCTTTTGACAGGGTAGCCCATTCACCAACAAGTAGTGGTCTTCCATGGGGCCCTGAATGAACATAATTTATTTACATCGTTTATAACATTTATACAGAACAGTTACAAAAATTTATACTCGTTTGCAAAATAAACATATATCATTAACCTAGTAAACAGTAATGTCAATAGGAAAATATCAATTAAGTCGCAATTATGTGAATAAGTCATGTAAATATTACAGAACATGCACGTAGTGTATGTACGGCTGAGCCATTCATAAATTACAACTTTGTTTAAACAATCTCTTAAATGAATTGACAGAGGAAGCCGTTCTCAATGAATTATCTAGCTTATTCCATTCAAATATGGAAGAAACAATTGGGCTACACTTATAACAATCAGTGTGAAATCTAGGCACACGTAAACATCCACTGTCTACTTGCCTTGTATGATGCTCATGTACATCATTAGGATTGATTAAGCCTACCTGAAGGTAAGAAGGTGCTAAGTTATGAACGCATTTATATATCATCATAACGCGACTTAACTCAAAGCGCTTGTCTAGTGTCATCCATTTAAGACTTGTGAACAAATCAGCCGACGGTGTGTCATATGTCTTGTTCAATATTATTCTTGCGGCGCTCTTTTGAATTTTTTGCAGCTTAGTTGTATGAGAATGAAATCGGTTCGACCATACAACAGAGCAGTAATCTAATCGTGGCAACACTAGACTGTTATAAAGTAACTTTAAGGATTTTTTAGGCAAAAAACTCTTGCTCTCTTTATCATGCTAATGTTTTTCTGGGTAAGTTTACTTACGTTTTCGATTTGTTTAGACCATTTCAATTCTTCATCTATCAAAAGTCCTAAGCATTTGGTGAATTGAACTCTTTTGATCAAATTGCCGTTTAATGAAATGGTGAAAGATTCAATTTTCTTGAGATTAGCAGGTGAGCCTATTAACATGACACAAGTTTTTTCAGTGTTAAGAACAAGACGATTTTCCTTAATCCATGCCATGACTCTGTTTAACGCAACAGTTAATTATTCTTCCACAACAGTTGCATCATTTGCACTGACGGTAAGTGTCGTATCGTCAGCATACATATCTATGATACCTTCAGGAGTACATTCAGGTAGACTATTAACATATATTGAAAATAAAAGGGGACCAAGAATTGAACCTTGTGGCACTCCTAATTTGATAGTTGATGGATGCGACTTGGCTCCTTTGAATTGGGTCACTTGTTGTCGATCCCCTAAATATGATTTGAACCAATGAATAGTTCTATTACTAAAACCTATACAAGCTAGTTTATGTAGAAGTAGCTCATGGTCAACAGTATCAAAAGCCTTACGAAGATCAATGAAGGCAACTCCAAAAATTTCTTTGTTATCAATATTCAACGACCATTGATTTACAAGTTTTGCAAGGGCAGTAGCTGTTGAATGTTTGGGTCTAAAACAAAGGAAGCAAGACTCACCGGGCTACAAGCTTTGAAAAAAGGATGGAAATTTAACTCTTATTACGTTACATTCAACATAGGATCCTAATAAGATTATAATACTAAGGAATTAGGTTAAGAGTTAGGTCCCATTGCGAGACAGGGCCAACTGGATAACCGACCAAACCTATGAGCTATGACCTGCGGGATGTAGAACCAGGGCCCCCTTTCACAAAAATTGTCATTCGCAAACGCTCTTTTGCAACTTCAGACATTATCAACATAACAACCGTTTACTAGGAGCAAACGACTCATATTAATAGGAAGATCCCTCAAGATTAAAGGAGCTTTTATACAACATATCGAAAAACAATAAGCATGGATGCTTCCTATCGCTGAAGCTGTGGCTTGCACGACCTCTCCTGATAAGTGATTGGTCTATTTCGTTTCCCTTCCAGAAGATCCAAGAGGCCTTTAATGTTTGATTGTTTGTCAAGTTCATGTCAAGACTTCCACACTGCACTTCCTGAGGAAAAAAATCCACTCCCTCATGAGGCGATGACGAATGACACCAACCAACTGCTTAACTCTCTACATCCATTCGTGATAGATGCGAATTGAGAGAGAAAGGGAAGGGATGGTAAAGAGTTCTGCATACCCTCATGCCTCATGGCACGCTCAATGATATTAAATCCACGAGGAATTAATCCACAATTCACTCCCTCTGTTTTTGTTTCTTGTGTGTTGTGCGCGTACGAGTGTGGGTGTAAGGCGTGTGTGCAGGGGCGTCTCCAAAGGGGGATGTGGGGGTGCGACACCCTCCCCCCCCCCCCACCTGTCATGATATTGTCGGTAAAATTGCGTTGCCGTCGGGAAACAAGAGAAAAGGGAGGGGGAGAGGGAAAGGGAAAGAGAAAAACGAAAGAGAAAAAATAAAAAGAGGGAAGGGAGGAAAGAAAGGAAAAAATAGAAGAAAAAAGAGAAAAGGGAAACAAAAGAAACGGGGGTGAAACAGAGGAGAAAGAGGGGGAGGTAAGAGCCTGAGAGAGGAGGAGTGGGAGTAAAAGAGAGAGTCGTCTCGTCGAAGGAGCAAGAAAGAAATATATGCTGTGTCGGGTCAGCTGTGTCGGTATACTTGCTCGATCCTCGTGTACTATATCAATGCAGGAGTTTGAAGTCGGTGAGATGTATAAAGTGGATTATGCCGAAAGGGTGGGTACCCGGCCCCCCCCCCCCCCACTCAGTGTGTTTTAGGGTACGCATATGCTTGTTCCCTCTTTTTGAAAGCACCCCCTATCTGAGGACTGCCAACATTTCCGAACCCCCCTTTCGCGGGCTTTTCGCAGGCTTTTCCTGCCTTGGAGACCTCCCTAAATCATGACAAATGCTCAATGTACCCCCCCCCTAAATTCGGAATGATTTCTCAGGAGTCCAAAGAGATGAGAGAAAAAAGACCCCCTTTTTAAATAAATCTCCGGGTAAAAAGTTAATACACCCCTTTTTTTTACAATTCTCGGGCCGGACTTTGTCGCACGAAAAGTACCCTTTTACCGGACATTTTAGTAACACGCATGGGCTCCTTTGTTTTCGGAGTGAGGGGACGGGGGTGGGTAGCGTCGCGTCCCGGCAAGTTAATTTGAGCGCGACCATTCGTCCACCCCCCTCCCCCTGGTTTGGCCGAAAGGGTGCGTTGGGAGTGTCGTGTCGCGTCGCACGCGACTATTCGTCCACCCCCCCCCGGTTTTCTTTATATTGATGATATAAATTTCCTATTTTCTCCTTAAAGGAGCTACACAAAGAAAAATTCACTACAACTGATAATTAGAACAAATTACATATGGACGGAAAGATTTTCTCTTGAAAAACACGAATAATTTGCTGAGAAATCATATAGATATCATGGAAAGGCGTAAAATCAGTTTTTCAAGACCCTTCTTAGACCCCCCGAACGCCCCTGAACGTAAGCCAAACACACGAGCGTAGCGAGCTCTGAATAGTGAAGTCACACACTGGACAAACAGCTCAGTACCGGCCGCCTACCGGAGTCGCGCGTGTATTAGTCTGCTGCTAGCGAGCCGTGTCCCGTGTGTGACGTCACAAATATTGACGCTCTACAAAGGACCGCTGAAGGCAGAAAATCTGGATCTCGAAACTAACATTTTTGAGAATTGATTACTGCGGGCCCCAAACATATTTTGAAGAAGAGAGTTGTTGTATTTGATCAGTAAGGCTTCCCCTTCGCAATGATATGAGTTCTGCATCAATTCAAAACACTTTTGATTCTTCGTGTGTCTACTTTAAGAATCTTATTCTTATTTATTCACACCAGCAGCCAATTTATACCCCCCCCCCCCACCTATGATCCTACTTTTTGGGGGTCATTTTGTTCAATGGGATCTATTTTATCAGAAAAAAAGATGTTCCCAAGAAACATTTTTTGCCCCTTATTTGAAGATATGTAAAAATATCAGTTTTTCGTATTTTGCACACTTTCTTAGGGTTCGTGAATTGTGTGCTTACATTTTACCTTATTCCTCAGCAAATATAAGTATAATCTTTATATATTTTATTGTCTTCAATTACTAATGACGTC